CAGAATCCTGCTCTCTGGACTTTCACTGTGTAAGGGGCATTTGAGTTGTAACACAAAAGAACTCAGAGCTCGAAACAACCAGAACAAGCACAGCACACCTTAGAGGCGCTTACTGGGGAGTCCTTATCCCAGCTCTGCCAGATAACCTACAATCTGACCTATTTTGCAAGTCATCAAACTCTTATGAGCCTCAGTTTTTGCATCTGCAAAATGGGGTAAGAACACCTAGCTCACAGGGCTTCTGTAAGGATTTGTGGAATCATTCACAGAGGTCTCTGGCAGGATGTCCGACCCAAAGAAGGGATTCAGTTCAATGTTTGCCAAACCTGGAGTCGGGTCTTTGCCGTGGACATTTGCCTCTTGGAGCAATCCTTGACTTTGAAAACTGATCCACGATATGGGATCCCCTGTGTTCTTTAAGACCACCTGGTGGCACCCTGGGTCTGGTCTCTCCTTCCCCGGGCATAACAGTTCCAAGGAGACCCACTGCATCAGAGCGGCACCCTTGCATGGAGACCTTCACCTCTTCATCTTGCAGTGTGCCATCTGTTGCTGCCTGACCATCCGACTTGGTCCTGGCTGTCTGGAACAAGATATTCTCTCTGGAGGAAAATATTATTGGGTTTTTTTTGCCACTTGTTTGGTCCTCCAGAGTCAATATTTGCAGAGATAAGCACAGAGTGATGTGGAGTTGTTTATAACTCTGCCCCTATCTTTTTGGGTTCTGGTTCCTTTTGGGCTACACTGTGAGGTGAGTGGGTGTACATTTCAACAGCAGTTGGACCTGGTACTCACCAAAACTGCTTTGGAAGAATATGGTGGAGGAGCTGGAGTGAGTTTGCTCCTGTCTCCTGAAGGTGTGCCCTCCGCCCACTCTGAACACCAAGCAGGAATTTATGTGACCTCCCCAGGAAGCTGGCCTGGACATCTTTCCCTCCCAAGCCTTTCCTGTAACAAACCTCAGGGCTGCCCCAGTCTTCTCTACTAGATAGTGAGATCCCGGAAGGGTCTTTCTATAAAAATAAGATTTTCTGTTTCCACTTCACATAAAAATGCCTAGAGAGACTTTCCACCCAGTTTGGAGGGCTTATTTCAAATGATTTGACTTAAAATACAGGTATGAGGAGTGGGCAAAATTCCCTTTGAAGTGGCCTATAGAAGGGTACCCCAAGGGTTGGATGGGTGGCCATTCTCTGGAGATAGTGACTACTCATGGGCTACCATGAGAGGCCAGAGTGACATCTGATTAGGAGAGACAGGTTGCACATATTAATCCATGGAGGACAGAGGTGACAAACATGGTTTCAACTGTGAGCTCCGAACCAAGTGATGGGGGTGTGCAGTCAACAAACACAATTGAGCTGCTTCTCACTTGGGCAACTCTGTATATCTCTAAGACAGTAGAAGCAAGGGTGGATTTTTTTTTTTTTTTTTTTTGAGACAGAGTCTCGCTCTGTTGCCCAGACTGGAGTGCAGTGGCATGATCTCGGCTCACTGCAACCTCCATCTTCTGGGTTCAAGTGATTCTCCTGCCTTAGCCTCCTAAGTAGCTGGGATTACAGGTGTGTGCCACCACACCCAGCTAATTTATTGTATTTGTAATAAAGATGGGGTTTCACCATGTTGGTCACGCTGGTCTTGAATCCCTGACCTCGTGATCCGCCCGCCTTGGCCTCCCAAAGTGCTGGGATTACAGGCATGAGCCACCGTGCCCAGCCAAGAGTGCATTTTTTTAAATATGGGTAATGGTTCTCTGGAGAAACACCGGCAAGATGGCTAGCTAATAATAATAATGGCAACAACAAGAGAGGAAGTGTAGGAGGAATAGGAAGGAGGAGGAGACAGAAGGAAGTGGCATGGCTGTGTGGTCCACTATGTGCCAGTCTCTTAGCAAAGTGACTTCTAAAAGTGATCTCCTTTAATTTATTTCATTTAATCTTCATAAAACCACTACAAAGCAGCTCTTATCATCCCTACTTTTCAGGTGAAGAAAGTGATACTCTGAGAAGTTAAAGCCACTTGCCCAAGGTCATGCAGCTTACCAAAAGCAGATACTGAATGGGCTGTGTCTCCATTCAAATCTCACTCCAGTTGCATCTTCCAGAATTCCCACGTGTTGTGGAAGGAAACCAGGGGGAAGGTGATTGAATCATGGGGAGTGAGTTTTCCTGTGCTATTCCCGTGATAGTGAATAAGACTCATGAGATGTGACAGGTTTATCCGGGGTTTCTGCTTTTGCATCTTCCTCATTTTCTCTTGCTGCCGCCATGTTAGAAGTACCTTTCACCTCCCACCATGATCCTGAGGCCTCCCCAGCCATGTGGAAATTTAAGTGCAATTAAATCTCTTTTTCTTCCCAGTCTCGGGTCTGTCTTTATCAGCAGTGTAAAAACGAACTAATACAGATACTGAGTGAGATTTTCCTGACCTTGACCAAGGAACGTCCAACAAATCCAATTCTGATGAACTCATATCGTGCGTGGTGCACAGCTGAGCCCTTACTGTTACGCTGCATTTGCCAGGTCCTTGATTGCTGTCTCTCTTCCCTTTGAGGCAGTGGGATCCTTTGTATCCTCCACTTGAGCACATGCTATCTTCCAGCACAAGTTGGTCAAATGAATCACGATGACTGATGCCTTACTTAGTCAATCAAGGATCTGAGATTGACATAAACTTGCCCTGAGGCTCTTGGGAACTTCCGAGGCATGCATGCATTTTTTAAGCAATTGCTACGAGCCAGACACAATTGTAGTTGCTTGGGATACATCAGTGAACCCCAGACAATTTCCCATGCTCTGGTGTAGCTTACAGGAAGAGGGGAGCAGCAGACATGACTGGCAGACTCTGTAAGAGCTGCCTTTCTACTCACTGCCTTCCTATTGAGAAAGCAAGACTTTGCCCCAATCCGCTCTCCACAGAGTAGGCAAAGAAGATTCTTTTCCAAACATGAATGTGATCAACTCATACCTCTGCTCACAACCCTCAATGGCTTCCCATGGCTCTTAGGATAAAGCCCCCACACCTCAGGCCTGCCTTCAAGGTCCTGCATAGGGTCTCTGCCCTTGGCAAGCCTCATTCCATGCCCAATTCCTCCACCATGAGCTCCTCCAGTCCCTCCCCTTTTACTATCCAGCTCTTCCTTCAACTGTCTTCTCATGGAAGACCTGTCCTCCCTGCATCAAACTCTCTGTACCAACTCCACGGATCAGTCGCACTTCTCGTAGTTACAGTTTCACATTTATTTGTGCAAGTTTCTGATGAACGTGTGTCTTCTGTACTGGACTGTAAGCTCCTTGCACACAAGGAATGAGTCTGCTGCATTCCTCAACGAGTGTCTAGAACCTCACCAGGGCCTGGGACAACACAGTGTGCAGAATAAATGCCTGACACACCACCATTCTTTCCACCCCATACTGCCCATATTCTTCTCATCTGATCTATGCAAATCTCCCTTTTCCAAAAAATCAAAAGGATGGGGATCCAATCAGGACTGTGGTCTCACAAAGCAGGTGCATATAACAGGGACAAAGGCAGAATGGTTGACCTCAGACAGTCCAGGTCACGTGGTTACTGCACCTGTGATGAAAAATGAGATTCCAGGCCAGGTGCGGTGGCTCACACCTGTAATCCCAGCACTTTGGGAGGCCGAGGTGGGTGGATCACCTGAGGTCAGGAGTTTGAGACCAGCCTGGCCAACATGGTGAAACCCCGTCTCTACTAATAACACAAAAATTAGCTGGGTGTGGTGCTGCATATCTGTAATCCCAGCTACTCAGGAGGCTGAGGCAGGAGAATCACTTGAACCCAGGAGGCGGAGGTTGCAGTGAGCTGAGATTGCAACCATTGCACTCTAGCCTGGGTAACAAGAGCGAAACTGCATCTCCAAAAAAAAAAAAAAGAAGAAGAAGAAAAGAAGCCACTTCAGTGTGAAATGCTGGAGAATGAATGGGGCAAAATGAGTTTCTAGCCAAGCCTATCCCTAGGAAAACAGTGAGCAGAAGCCCTCCAGCTTCACAAAGCTTGGAGTTGTGTGCCTGAGGGCTCCGTTCAACATCACCTACTCATCTCTTTATTGGAAAGGTGTAGTACTGTTATCAGGAAAGTTGCTTTCTAATTAGAGATGTGATTTATTATGATTAAGTTCCTACTGTGGGCTGAGTTTTGAGGATATAAAAGTGAGCTAGATTGATGCAGTTCTTATCTTCAAAAATCTGACGCTCCAACAAAGCAGGCAGGCCATGCAGGATTAGAGGATATGGGCACTGCTACGGACACGCAGTGCATTGTGGCAGGGCAGTGTGGCAGGGCAGTACACAGCATGGGAAGTCGTAGAGACTCAGGAACTGGGTTTAGAGAGAAACATTGCATGGGCTGGGAAGGGCTTTCCAGGCCATCAGAATGGCATAGCCAAGGGCATAGAGGCAAACAGAGTTCGGGGTGCTATGGCAGACACTAGTAGTTGGTGTTTCCAGAAAGTCCAGGGTAGGACTGGCAATGGCAGGAAATGGAGCTGGAGCAGTAGGGATGGAGTGGGTACAGAGCAACTTTAAGTCCTACTGAGAATCTCAAACTCTCTCATGTTGAAACAATAGAGGAGCACTGGAGGTTTTAGGCAGAAGAGTAACATGGACAAAACTGTATTTCGGGGAGATCACCATGCTGGCAGAAAGGAATTGTAGGGGACCAAGGAGGGTCAGGGAAGCTGGTTAGAAAGCGGTGGCCACGACCATGGAGAAGTGACAAGAGCACGATCTGGAGTTGTAGAGGAAACTTCAGAGGAGAGATGTTCAGGAAAGGGTTAGGGGTCGGCCCTTGGAAGAACTAGAGTATGGCACAAACAATAACAACACTTTCCATTTATTTAACTTCTTTTGCCTGCCAGACATTCCGGATAACTTTTCTCTGTTACTCTAAATTTTAATATTCATCCAAGTAGGTAGGGGATGCAGGATGAGGAAAGGCCTGGAATCCCAGGACCCTCTCTGTAGAGTCTAAATGTCAGAAATAATGGGTAGGTGTGAAGGCTAGACCCAGTTTACTGGAATTGCTCTGGCAATGGAGGGGTCCTTGTACACCACAGTCATGTCTATTATGTCCTATAATGGAGGAGCCATCATGGCCATGAAGGGGAAGGACTGTGTGGCCATCGCTGCAGACAGGCACTTTGGGATCCAGGCCCGGATGGTGACCACAGACTTCCAGATCTTTCCCATGGGTGATGGGTTGTAATTGGTCTGGCCGGGCTCGCTACTGATGTCCAGATAGTTGCCCAGTGCCTCAAGTTCTAGCTGAACCTGTATGAGCTGAAGGAAGCTCAGTAGATCAGATCTTATACCCTCATGAGCCCGGTGGCCAATCTCTTGTATGAGAAACATTTTGGCCCCTACTACACTGAGCCAGTCATTGCTGGGTTGGACCCAAAGACCCGTAAGCCCTTCAGTTGCTCTCTAGACCTCATCGGCTGCCCCATGGTGACTGATGATTTTGTGGTCAATGGTACCTATGCCAAACAAATGTACGGAATGTGTAAGTCCCTCTGGGAGCCCAATATGGATCCAGAACACCTGTTTGAAACCATCTCCCATGCCATGCTCAATGCTGTAGACTGGGATGCAGTGTCAGGCATGGGGGCCATTGTCCACATCACCGAGAAGGACAAAATCACCACCAGGACACTGAAGGCCCAAATGGACTAACCCTGCTCCCAGAGCCCACTTTTTTTTTTTTTTAAATAAAATAGCCTTTTTATTTAAAAAAAAAAATACTGAACAGATGCTAATGCCAGCTGAGCTGAGATTGGGACAGAGGAATAAAGTAGGAGATAGAGCAGAGGATGGAAATGAAAAACAGTATGTCCCAACAGCTAGTTAAGAGAAGAATTGTATGAGGGACTTTTTTGTTTTTTTGAGACGGAGTTTCACTCCTGTCAATCAGGCTAGACTGCAATGGCGTGATCTTGGCTCACTGCAACCTCTGCCTCCTGGGTTCAAGTGATTTTCCTGCTTCAGCCTCCCAAGAAGTATGGATTACAGGTACTCACAACCACACCCAACTAATTTTCTTCTTTTTATTAGAGACGGGGTTTCACCATGTTGACCAGGTCGGTCTCGAATTCCTGACCTCAGGTGATCCACCTGCCTCAGCCTCCCAAAGTGCTGAGATCACAGGCATGAGCCACTGTATCCAGCCCTAGGGACTTCTTAAGAATCCAAAGTTTAGACAAGAGTTTGCAAATTCAGATGCCTATATGTACCAGAAAGGGAACATAAATCAGTTAGATAAGCAGAGAGCTGTGATGATTCATATGTAGATGCTTCTTGACCATCAGGAGTGGTGGGGACTATGCCAAGGGGAGAGCCCATATGCCGTCTGAAAAAGTGAGCTGCTGCTCAGCATCAGCCGATTGTGGCCTGGCAGGAATGAAGGTCCAAGGTAGCCAAAGGGGCTCATTTCAAAGCAAAATTAGTTCTCCAGACCTTTGCGTGAATTCTCTCAATTTGAAAGTGTTGGCAAGTAATTCAAAATTCAAAAAAGAAAAGAAAAACATAGTACAAAGTACACCCAGCATGCTGATAAGCTAGATGTGAATATAGGATTGGTACTGAGTCTTCTGGCATAGACCTCCTTTTAGCAGTAAAGGTATATGAAGGAAAGGGAGACACAGGGAGGGCACACCAGTGCAACCACGACCACATCTGCCTTCCAAATGTGGTGGTGTCTGCTGTCCATCGTGTGGTACGGTCTGCAAGAACATTCCCTCCTGGAGTGAGGGAGATGTGTTAAGGTGTGAATAGTGGTTATCAGACATCAGAGAACATCTTCAGCATTCTAGAAGCATATCAGAAAGGCACACGTCCTACACTTTAAAGGATGCTGCAGGCTGTTGGGGTGGCTCACGCCTGGATTCCCAGCAATTTGGGAGACTGAGGCAGGCGGATCACCTAAGGTCAGGAGTTCAGAACCAGCCCGGCCAACATGGCAAAACCCCATCTCTGCTAAAAATAAAAAAATAAGCAGGACATGGTGGTACACGCCTGTAGTCCCAGGTACTTGGGAAGCTGAGGCAGGGGAATTGTTTGAACCCAGGAGACAGAGGTTGCAGTGAGCCGAGATCCTGCCACTGGGCTCCAGCCTGGGCGGCAGAGCAAGCCCCCATCTCAAGAAAATAAATAAATAACATAAAACAATAAAAAATAAAGGATGCTTGTGAATGAGCCAACGACTTGCCGCAATTGTCAGAGGCGTTCGAACCAGAGTGACTCCATCTTGAATAGCGGCTGGGTAAAATAAGGCTGAGACCTACTAGGCTGCATTCCCAGGAGGTTAGGCATTTTTAGTCACAGGATGACATAGGAGGTCGACAGGACTGGTATCACAAAACACAGGTCATAAAGACCCCACTAATAAAACAGAATGCAGTAAAGGAGCCAGCCAAATCCCACCAAATCCAAGATGGCAAGGAAAGTGACTTCTTGTTCTCACTGCTCACTACATGCTAATTATGATGCATTAGCATACACAAAGACCCTCTCACCAGCACCATGACAGTTTACAAATGCCATGGTAATGTCCAGAAGTTACCCTATTTTATCTGAAACGGGGAGGAATCCTCAGTTCCAGAAATTGCCCTACTTTCTCAGAAAACTCGTGAACAATCCACCCCTTGTTTAGCATATGATCAAGAAATAATCATAAAAATAGCTGACCAGCAGCCCTTGGGGCTGCTCTGTCTATACAGCAGCCAGTCTTTGGTTTCTTTACTTCTCTAATAAACTGGCTTTCATTTTACTGTCTGGACTCACCCTGAATTCTTTCTTGCATGAGACCCAAGAACCCTCTCCTGGGGTCTGGATTGGGACTCCTTTACCAGTAATACAATGACACCCACTGTCCCACATTTACTCTCATGGTCCACCCTCTGCTGCCCTTGTGGAGTTCCCATTTTAGTGCCTATTTTGTGACTCTGGCTTTGTGACCCTTCCCTTCCATGGCTTAATACCTTCTCTTCAGACCCCCATAGCTGCCCTTGGCTTCCCTCATCAGCTCCAACCTGGCCCCAGGGTGGACCCAGTGCTCAGGTCCAATGCAGAGATCCCAGGTTTCATCTTGTAGATCCCGTGATTCAAGATAGAGGACAGGATGGATATGTCACCATGGAAAGAAGTGAACTTTAAGATCAGTAATTATTAAAACAGCCAATAAAGAGTGGGAATAGAAGCTACCTCCTCAGAGATTCCCAGAAAGAGTGTCAATGGACAGTGATCTTGGTGGTTTGAGCAACTCAAGCCAAGAAGTAGCTACAAATAATCACACACACCCCACTGTGTGCCTGGTGACCCTCGGTGCTTATGTCCTGAACTTGTAGAATTCTTGCAACAATCCCATGAGATCGGAGCCAAGATCGTCCCCATATTACAGAGGAGAAACTCAGATCCATAGAGGTTAAGTCACTTGCCTCCAGACATATATCCTCTTTCCGAAGCCGGACCCAGTTCCTGAGTGTTGCTGCGAAACAGTGCTTTTCAAATCACCTCTGGCAAAGACCCCGTTTTTGCGCCCTAGTTCATCACAGACTGCCACGTTTGTAAAATACAATCAGGAAATGAATTACTAGCAAAATGACTAGGCATTGGAAGGTGCAGCAACGTCAGATTGTTCCCGAAGTTTCTGAGCATTCTCTGTCTATACTGTTACCACGTTGTGGGGCGGCAAAACACAGCACCCCAGCAGCACAGGCCACGTGCGCCTTGGCAGCGCCGTGCGAATCCACCTCACTACACGCTCAGGCTCTCAGGGTATAAAGTGCTTCTGGGAACCACTTGTCTGTATTCCCGCGGCTGAACTCTTCACCTCCGCGGGTTCACGACTCTAGCGCCGTGTTTCTGGTTTTTGTGATTTTGGGAGAGGCCACCCGTATCGTGCAGAAATGAGATTAATTCACTCCTCAGTTCCCTTTCAAAACCAAAATGCTGGGATTCCGCCTCCTTTTACAACAGCCCCGTTCAGCAGGGCTGTTTGCAGGGCCAGCTGTTTCTGTTCTCGCATTCATTAATAAAAGTAGTGAATGCAACCAGAGCCACCCTTTTCTTTCCTTTGTCTTGTCTGAAAGGGGGCAGGGAGGGAGCAGGAGAGCCCGCAGACGCTGGGGACGTGTCAGACGTGCCACAGGAAGGGCTCGGCGCGGCGAGAGCGGAGCTGTGAGAAAGGCAGGCAGGTGGGCGGAAGGCGGGAGGGGGCCGCGCGGGGGCGAGGGGCCCCGCAGACAGACATATGGAATCCATCACCCCAGGCAGGGGGTGGGGGTGCAGAATTACAGAGACCCCTGGCCTGCTTTCCGGAGCAGGGGAGGATTGAGAGCCGCCGAGGAAGGGGGTTGATGATGGAGCAGGGCTGGGTGAGCTGGGAGCTCCCTCGGGACCCTATTGTGCTATCCGAGCTCCTGGCGGTTGGAGAGTGAATACTTCTCATTGTCTGTACAGTCAGGGTCCAGCTGGGGAAGCAGGAGGGAGGCAGTTCTCAAAGTCTTACTCAGAAACTTTAATGAAGGGAATTGGTTACAGAGGTGCTAGAAAAACTCCTTGGACTGCAGGGATGAAAAGAAGAAGTGCTTTTTCAGAGCCCAGGAGCAATGGTCACCGTTGCTCCTGTTAAATCTGAATTTCAAATAAATAAATAACTACTAAATTTTTTTTCTTTTTCGTGTGTGTGTGTGTGTGTGTGTGTGTGTGTGTGTCTGTGAGTGAGTGTTGTGAGACGGAGCTTCGCTATTGTTGCCGAAGATGGAGTGCGATGGGGCAATCTCGGCTCACCCCAACCTCTGCCTCCCTAGTTCAAGCGATTCTCCTGCCTCAGCCTCCCGAATATCTGGGATTACAGGCATGTGCCACCACGCCCGGCTAATTTTCTTTGTATTTTTAGTAGAGACGGGGGTTTCTCCATGTTGGTCAGGGGTCTCAAACTCCCGATCTCAGGTAATCCACCCACCTCAGCCTCCCAAAGTGCTGAAATTAAGGCATGAGCCCCCGTGCCCAGCCTATATTTTGGAAATCAACATAGAATGCATTAAATGCCACAGAATTGTATACTTTAAAAATGTTAAAATGGTAAAATTTATGTTATGTGTACTTTGTCCTAATCAAAAATGTGATATAAAAATGTACCCAGTTGGGCCAGGCACAGCGGCTCACGCCTGTAATCCTAGCACTTTCAGAGGCTGAGGTGGGCAGATCACCTGAAGTCAGGAGTTCGAGACCAGCCTGCCCAACCTGGTGAAACCCTGTCTCTACTAAAAATACAGAAAGTTTAGCTGAGTGTGGTGGCACATGCCTCTTGTCCCAGCTACTAGGGAGGCTGAGACAGGAGAATTGCTTGAACCCAGGAGACAGAAGTTCCAGTGAACTGAGATCGTTTCACTGCACTCCAGCCTTGGCAACAGAGCGAGACTCCATCTCCCCCACCCCCAAAAAACACAGTTTATCTGTATTTTAACTGGTGGCCTGCATTTTATTTTTAAAATCCAGCTGTTGTACATCTGGCAGGCACTAGAATGATGGTGGGGGCTGCCCCCAAGGGAACTGGTGCCACAGAGGAGACACAGCTGCTGTCCAACAAAGCAGGAAGTGGAGGAAATGGAGGAGGAGGAATGGTCGGCTTCTCCCTTCCTCCTGGAGGCCCTCCAGTGATCTGCCAGTTCCCCCAAGCAGCCACGGCTACCTAGAAGCCAGTGGGCAAAGCCACCTCAGAAATGCAGGTGCAAGGAAAGGATTGAAGAGCAAGCATGCAGTCATTTTAGATGACCCAGGAAAGCTGGACCTGCCTGGCGGAACGGCTGCAGTTGTATTTTCTCTGCAGGCTGAAACGAAGCCACAGGTTCAGTGGTGTTCTCCCTGAGGTTCGTGCTCTCCCTACCCTGATCCATGAATAAGTAGTTACTGTTTGCTGCCAAGGACGCAGACAAGAACACGTGCGTGGAGCAGCTTCTATGTACAAAGCTCCCCGCTAGGAATCCAGAAGTGCTTCAGTTGGGAAGCTCAGGATATGGTTCCCCAATGTCCATTCATTCATTTATTTATTCAACATCTGCTTATGAGACAGGCATGGTCCACAACAATTGAGTAGATGGTGGTATAGAAAGCAGACACATTCCATATTCTCAGGGTGCTTATGGAGCTAGCCTGTTGGGAAGATATCAAATGCAATAAGAATTAACTAAAATATAAGATGTAAATGGCAAATGCAAGAATTGTCTAGCAGAGCAATGATGAGCGTGCACACGACCAGAAGAAAATGGGCAGTATAAGTGATGCTCACAGAAGGTAGTGAGTGCCCGGCATGGTGCCAGGTGCTGGGGAGCAGCAGGGCAGAACTGGGCATGTGCTTACCTGTCTTTCCAGGAGCTCAAGATATTGCCCACAAGAATCTCCAGATGGCAACTACAAATATCTGTTTACCCTCTTGGCTTCACATAACCCCACAGAGAGGTCCTTGGAGGGAAGAGAACACATTTAGTTGTCTAGAGCTCTTGTTTTCACGACAGGCTCAGCTTCTAGCTCTGAGGGTCCTGGGGCCTCAGTTTCCCATCTGTGAAGTGAGGGGCAGCCTCGATGATCTCTGCTCCCGCTCGGTGGCTCCTCAGGTCCTGTGATGTTAATACCTCTGTATTCCGGATCTGCTCCCCTCTTACTGCTGACAGCTCTCCAAGTGGCAGGAGCTGCAATCAGTCATTTGTCACTCTGGAGCACCAAGCTCAAAGCTCTGAATGAGTGACTCGATGAATGTGTACAGATCACCTTGTCAAGTGACAAAGATTCTTTTCTTGGCCAAACTTCAGTTAGGCTGCTGAATCTCCTCTGAGGTCCACCTGTGCACTTTATTTCTTTTCCTTTCTTCTTTTATTTTTTTATTATTATTTTTTTTTATTTAGAGGGAGTCTCGCACTGTTGCCCGTGCTGGAGTACAGTGGCTCGATCTCGGCTCACTGCAACCTCCACCTTCGAGGTTCAAGGGAGTCTCCTGCCTCAGCCTCCCAAGTAGCTGGGATTATAGGTGCCCGCCACCATGATCAGCTAATTTTTTGTGTGTTTAGTAGAGATGGGGTTTCACTATGTTGGCCAGGCTGGTCTCAAACTCTCAACCTCATGATCTGCCCTTCAAAAGTGCTGGGATTACAGGTGTGAGCCTCTCCAGGCCACCTGTACACTGTCTTGTAAAATCCAGTTAGAGCAAATAACCTGGCTAAATCAGTTTAGCAAGAATCCCCCCAATCATTGATATCTGGACACTGTATACAGCTGATCAGTTTCCTCATCCCCTACCATTCCCCAGGTGCCGTCTGATCACCCTGGCCTGTCTTCAGCAAGAATCTTGTTAGCTCTGTTTAGCCAGAATTCCCCTTACCTCTAATGTTTACTCTCAGTAATTTTCCATCCACTGACCCCCACCCTGCTCCTTGGCTACAAATCCCCACGTGCCCGGGGTGAGCCCAATCTCTCCTCCCCTGCTGTGAGACCTCATTGCAGTAGTCCCTAAACATATAGAAATAGTCCTGAGTCTTTTCTTACTCTGCTTTAGCAAATATCATTGAATGATGTATTTCTTTAACAGCAGGAATGTCTGAATATTGGACCTGAATCCTGGTTCTGCCACTTACCATCTTGAGCAAAGTTATATGAACTCTCAGGCATGTCTGTTTCTTCACTTGTAAAATTGAAATAATAACAATACCTAATAGATTTATAAGACTGAATAAAATCAGGCATGTAAAACTGCTGAGAGCTATGTCTATTCACTGTCATTATTTATAAATATCATTATTTATTCATCGCCCTCATAGAGTTAGAAGCCAATAATAAATTCACTCTCAACTGCCTATATTTTTCGTTTCTCAACCTGTGGTTTATCACTAGCGAATTACGAAATCATTTTAATAGGCATAGTAGTATACGTGTTTAATGACTACTTATATACCAAAGATAAACATATAGAAAAAGAGTAGAATAGAAATAGTGTATCGAATGTCATAAGCATAAGTATCTTCATGTGAAACTTGATTTTCAGGATGTATGGTGTATGTGTGTACACGGGTACACACACACATAGTGTAGTTTGCCGGGTTGTGATGTAAAATGTGTTTCTTCCCGTCCAAGAAATTTGAAACCACTGCTTTAGGCGAAATCGCCATTACCCATAATTCTCCCCTTCATGCTTTTCAACACTCCAGGTCCCCTCTGACCTACAAGCAAACACCATTTCCCCCTCCCCTGCTTCCTCCTGGCACTGTATTCACCCCTTCCTTTACCCTCCCTGCCTCTGAGAATCAGAACTGCTCAGCCTTTCTCTCCCTGGAAGCCCAGCTCCTCCTCCCCCACCCTCCCACTGTAGGGTACCAGAAAGTTGCCCTGGGTCCCAGACAAGGTGGGAGCCCGGGAGCTGCCACAGATGCTGGTGGTGCCTGGGGCTGGCAGGAAAAGAGACGGCGGCCAAGGGATGAGGTTTGGCATTTTATCATCCGAGCATGCTCTGGGTTAGGTACAAAGCCAAGTCAGGGGTCTTGTGTCAATTGTGAGGGAAAGACATTCCCGAGGGGAGAGAGGGATTAAGCTGGAGGGAGGATGAAGAGGAGAGAAAGAACTGAAAGGATACTAGAGAGAAGACCCAAAACAGGAAGCAAGGAATGTTCTTCAGGAGCCAGCTGGTAAGAGGGGCAGGCTAGGGGCAGGTCAAGGAAAGGCTGAAAAAGGCTGGAAAAGGCTGGAAGTGTTGCCTGGGGCATGCAGGGGCTCAGCCCAGCAAGGCCACAGTCTGCGGAAGACCTTTTCCTGGAGGGCCATCTTGCGCTGCAGGGCCCTCTTCCTCCTCACTGAGGGAACTCTCTAAACCCCCTCGAAGTCAGGAACCCGGCTTGCTCAGGATTAAGTCAGCCTAGCTGTGGCCACCATCATTGCGGCCAGGGGTCCCCTTGGCTTCACATTTTGCAGCTTCCACCCTGGCAGTGTCTGGGCAGTGTCTGGGGGATGCTTGCTTTGCAGGAGAAAGCCCAGTGTCTGAGTGGGGCCTCAGAGACAGCCAGGACCCTCCCTACACAGCACTCCTCTGCCCTTCTGTCAGGTTGAGGGCAGAGAAAATTAACAGACCTCCCCAGGCTCGGTGGCTCACGCCTATAATCCCAGCACTTTGGGAGGCTGAGGTGGGTGGATCACGAGATCAGGAGATCGAGCCCATCCTGGCCAACATGGTGAAACTCCATCTCTACTAAAAGTATAAAAAAATAGCTGGGCATGGTGGCGGGCACCTGTAGTCCCAGCTACTTGGAAAGCTAAGACAGGAGACTCGCTTGAACCTGAGAGGCGGAGGTTGCAGTGAGCCAAGATCGTGCCATTGTTGGCAATTTCAACATTTTCTTGTTTGCTTATCTATATTTTCTCATTTTTCTACCATGGACATATATTATTTGCCTAATGAAAAGGAGGCATAAAATCGGGCTGAAGATCACTTTCTGCCTTTTATTTTTTTTGAGACAGAGTCTGACTCCATCACCAGGCGCCAGGCTGGAGTGCAGTGATGCCACCTCCACCTCCCGGGTTCAAGCAATTCTCCTGCCTCAGCCTCCTGAGTAGCTGGGACTAGAGGCACACGCCACCACGCCCAGCTAATTTTTTTTTTTTTTTTTTTTTGTATTTTTAGTAGAGACAGGGTTTCACTATGTTAGCCAGGATGGTCTCGATCTCTTGACCTCGTGATCCGCCCGCTCGGCCTCCCAAAGTGCTGGGATTACAGGCGTGAGCCACCGCGCCCGGCCACTTTCTGCCTTTTCATGGACTATTTCATTCCTGCTTTTCTACTGTGAAGATTTAATTTAGCTCAAAAATTCCACAACTATTTATGGAATGTTTATTTTGTGCCAAGCACTGTCCTAGGCACGGCAGGAAATGGAAAAATTAATGAGACATGATTGGACTTCTTCTGTCCTGTTGGGGAGACAGATATCCACACAAAGGACCCTACTGCCAGATGGTGTGGATTACAGGCGCCGAGACAGAAGTACAAGGTGCAAGGGGAGTTGAGTTAATTAATTAGTCAGCAAAACTGCTTTTTAAAGGAATCCTTGTCACTACTGCAAACACTTGTGCAGAATTAATCCCTCTGGCCTTGCCAAATTGCCACATCTCTGGTGGCCTGAGCTACATTGGTAAGTGGGACTTTTTGGTAAGGAGCTAATGGGTACTGGGTATCCACCATGTGATGGACATTGTGGTTTACATTCATTTAACCTTCACCACTGCCCGAGGCTAATTTAGTGCTTAATCGTGAGAAGGAGGGGAGAACAGAACACTGCGGAGAAGCCCAAGCTCTGCAGCCAAGCCACCTGGATTCCAATCCAGTTCTGCTGCTCACTAGTTATATAACTTCCAGCAAGTTTCTTAGCCTCTCTGCACCCCGATTTCCTAATCCATAAAATGGGGACAATAACAGTACACACCTTGTAGGATTTGTGGCCAGGACTAAACACATCATTGCACATGCAGAGTCCCTGACAAACAGAAAGCTCTCTAGGATGTTATTATTTTACATGTATATTCCACCAAGTAAATATTCATGCTACTTTGCATTTCCTTTTTTCATGCAATGCTTCCATTATTTTTCCTAAAGAGCCAACTTATGACAATGATTCCGCAAACATTTTTGATCGCCCACTAAGTATCTGACACTGTTTTGCTTGCTGTGAAAGCAAATATAAATAGCCATGACTCCACTCTGGGGCTGCTCATAGGTTAGTGAAGGAGAGAGAGAAATAACACAACAGGGCTGGTAATTAGTAACAGTGGTTGCCTAAGCTGCCCTAAAGTCCCAGAAAACATCTCTCTCTCTCCCTCTCTCTGTCTCTGGTTGTTAAAATGTGTTTCCCATTATCCTGTTTATAGTATTTGCTTGCAAAGGAAAGTGAAACTAACATCCTCTGGAAGTCTGGAATGTGCCTCCCATAGTGCGATCATCCATAAGAGCAGAAGGCTCCTCATGTGCCAGGCTCCATGCTGAGCACTGGATACACATTACCTCCTTTGTTCCTATAAATAAAGTACAGTTACTGTGGGAAGTAGAAAGTTCCTTTTTAAAGTTTTCTTTCTTGTTAAAGAATAAATCATAAGTGTGCTAATAACTTTGTTAAGCCCTATCCTCTGTAGCTGTTAGACATGCCAGGCATGTAGTACATTCTATGTCCTTGTACTTTAACCAAGATATTTGTGCTGAATGTGCTCACAGGCAGGTCCCAGCTCTCCATTGCTTTTACCTGTTTAGAAAAGTTTTAAGTTGTTAGCCAATAGGGTTTTAGTTTAGATTGTGAGGTCTGGCTCCAGCTAACGGAGATCAGTCACAGCAGTAAGGACAACCATAAATGTGTAAGGGACAAATTTGTGTGTTTTCCTTTGTTCATGGTACTCTCATGGCAAGACTGCTAACTGGAGTACCCTTTCTGCAGGAAGTAAAAAGAATGGCTTTGCTGAGAGATCCTTTGTCCCAAGTGCTAATTTTTCCTTGCAGCACCAAAAAGAAAAATTTTTTTTTTTTTTTTTTTTTTTTTTTTTTTTTGAGACGGAGTCTTGCTCTTGTTACCCAGGCTGGAGTGCAATGGCGCGATCTCGGCTCACAGCAACCTCCGCCTCCTGGGTTCAGGCAATTCTCCTGCCCCAGCCTCCTGAGCCGCTGGGATTACAGGCACGCGCCACCATGCCCAGCTAATTTTTTGTATTTTTAGTAGAGACGGGGTTTCACCATGTTGACCAGGATGGTCTCGATCTCTTGACCTCGTGATCCACCCGCCTCAGCCTCCCACAGTGCTGGGATTACAGGCTTGAGCCACCACACCCGGCAAGAAAAAATTTATACATAACAGTTATTATTATCCTCATTTTACATATAAGGAAACCGAGGTCCTTCCTTCTCTCTGAAGTCAAATAACTTTGCCTAGCTCATACCACCAAGAAATTACAGAGCTGCGGTTCAAACCCAAGCCCGTGTTCTCAACACAATGCCATATCTCCTCCCAGTGTAAAATTCTATATGCCATCTGATTTAATTCTTACAATAACTGAGATAGATGTTATCATGCCCACTTTTATGCATGAGAAAACTGGCATTTAAAACATTAAATTACTACCCCAAGGTCAAAGAGTTAGTAAGTGACAGGCCCACCTGCCTCCAAAGCCGTAGCTTTTGCCTAGATCATGCGAAGACTCCCTTTTCCTCCTACATTGGGTGAAGTTGAATTTTCACCCAGGCCTGCAAAAAAGCCCCCTGGATTAGACTAGAGCAGATGGGGATTCCAGTCTTGACTGCCACTTATTAGCACAGGCTTATCAGTAGACCTATTGCCTATAGTGGAGGGCTTGCAAGATGAGCTGAGAAGCTAGAGGTCATCCATGGAAGACGAAATGTGTGAATTAAGAAAACAACTTCAATCCCTTTACCAGTAGGAGCTTTCAAAAAATTGTAACCAGGAGAGTAATATGATCGCAACGGGGCTTCACAATATTACCCAATGCCAAGTTTAACAAACAGGTTAAAGTGAGGGAAGAGACCAACCATCAAGAAAAATACGATGAGGACAAGAGAAGGCTAATGGATTTGGAAAGTGAGGCACCAGTGATGATCTTGCCATGGCACTACCAGAGTGACATGAGTGGAAACCAGGCCACAAAGGCAGGAGGAAGGGGTAGGTCATGCCAAGGTGAAGAGCAATCACAATTCCAGGGAGATGCTTCCGGGTGGAGGGAAGGTCAGCAGGTTATGGGACAGGTTCAAGGAAAGTTGTATTTTCTTTCCCATCAGGTCAGAGACAGAAAGAAACATGTCAGTAGAGAAAAGAAATAAATGTGATTTAAAAAAAAAAAATGCTGAGTAGTGGGGAGAGTGGTTAAACAAGACCCTACGAGGCAGAAAGGACTCCCAGGAAAGGTAGACAAGGCTCACCTGGTCTCTCCCTTCCCTTCCCTTCCCTTCTGAGGCGAAGATACATGGATATATTTGGAAGTTTTAAGGTTTGGATACAGAGGCACATGAGTCAGGCCATACAGCTCTCCCCGTAAACTCAGCCAGCCTCATGTTCCCCACAAAATAGGAGATGACGTTATCAGCTATGAGAGAGATAGAGGGAAGAGAGACGGTGTTTGTCTGGGTGTCCCAAAACAGACTCCGCAGTGAGGATTTGGGACAATTAGTTTTTGTGGGAGTTGATTCCAGAAGCAACCATAAGGGAGTGGAGAGGTGAGATGGGAGGGAGGGTGCCCAGCAAAGGATGCCCTCTCAGGCCAGCGTCCACCATGATGGCTGCAGCTTTGTCCAATGGAGAACTCCAGGAACCAGCACAGAACACATCTCTCAGAAGTATCCTTCTAGAAAGGTGAGGGGCCCGGCGCATTGATCCACCAGCTCACACCAGTGATTGGTTTGGGAATGCTTCTTAGGGGCACACTGGGGGCAGTGCCATGGACATAGCCGCTCTGGCAGCCAGGTACAAGTGATTGGAAGCATGCCTGGAAAGAGCACAAGCTGAGAGGATATGGATCCAGCCTGAGAGCATCTGCTAGAGACAGGAACTTGGGTTTAAAAAATGTTTGCAATAGACAAAGTGAGCTGTGTAATAATGGTTCTTCAGGGGTACATAAGCAACAGTGTGTATAACCCATGTGCCCCACCATCGCCTTGGGCTGCTTTATCTTGGGGCAGATCCCAGGGATCGTGACAAGTTGACTCAAGGGAGGGAAGCAGGAGGGTAAAGAGGGTGCAATCAGCGCATGACTGGAGCTGACACAGCTGCCTGGTGGGCGCTGGAGCAAAGTTACAGCCTTAAGTAGAAGTTGA